ATAGTTCTCAATGGATCATTTTTGGAAGATTGAAAATGTTTCTGTTTGTGAAATTGCCCTTGTGCTTGAAACGCAAATTATTCGATCAGTATTTACTTCCACTGATAGCCTATGAGTGCGAAACCTGGACCATGATCTTGAAAACTGTTCATAAGCTGCGGATAATGCAATGCAGTATGTTGCAGATAGCAAGACAAATACTAAAGCGACCGAATTAGTAGAAACACAAACAGGAGTCTGCTATGCTATTCATCTAGTGAATAAAGTGGCAGTGGAGAGGACACGTTGCATCAAGAACTGACACATTACTGGACTAGAGAAACCGTGAGAGCGTAATCTGTCTAGAGAAAGACCTCTTGATCTATGGTACAACGAGCTGAAGAAGTTTGCTGGATCAAGATGGATGAAAATGGCGGGAATCAGAACTCTTGAGCGCAGTCGTCGTGAGACGTTCATCCAATGGTGGATCGAATCTGTTTAATAAGTAATGTTTATATGGTGTAGTAGATGCGTGTAGACGTGTGACACACACTTTTATACTGTAAAATTTTATATCCATTACTCATATGTTGTGTGTGAAGCGATGTATACGTTGTGCACTATTTTTGTGCGCTGAGAAGAAAGACAATACCAAGTGTATACTGTGTATACTATATGATATGAAGGAAAAAAGATGTTTGTCACCGGTGGAATATCGGTCTTGCGTCATTTTCATGATTGCGCCATTTCGGTGCCCTTCTTTTCATGAAGTTGATGGTGCGGTGCTGATCTTTGTTTTTTATATCATAAGCCAAGTGTGCCTTATTTTCCCTTAAAGGCATGCGGCAAGCACAGCATATAGTCTTCTGTTTCCTTCCCATGGAGTGATGCTTATTTAAGAACTTCGGAAGGAAGAAGGTGTGACTCGGCGCTGAACTTGAACTCGGAACCTATCGGTTGTGAGTTCATCGCCCTGCGACTGAGCAACCCTTGCCTGATATGATACTCTATGATGTGGAGTCCATAAATCTTCTATTTATGCTCGTATGTTGCATTCAGTGTATTTGCTTTGTACTGTTCTTTTGCACAGACTACAGAAGTAACGCGCAACTTATATTCATTGCATGTTTACTTTCTGAAGTAAGTAAGTAGTATATTGTGTACGTTGTATATAGTGATTTATGTATGTTTACAAGTACTGCAGAGTATATGTACGGTGTGCAGCTAGATCTGTCATAAATTGCGTATATGCATACTCTAACTATTATACATAAAGTTCATTTATAGGTTTTCTATACGTTAAGTGAAATAATCTCTTACCAGTGTGCAGCCTGTATGCTGTTATTGTCATGACTGTCTAGGACTAGCAGATTTTAATTAATGAAATATCCCAGATGGTTGAGATCTTACCCAAGACTCTAACTGCACAGTATGCAATGTACAAGTGTATGGTCTGTGCAGTTTATATCCGTTCTGTTTATTTTATATAGTGCCTATGCATTAAATATGTCTCATTTATATCGTGCTCTATGCGGTAAAAGCAAACATGGTTCATACTTGTTAATCTGACTCGAGCGTCTGTATGACGGACGTGTATTTTGCATGTTTGCATAATTTGAAGTTTGTGTATCTCTATTTTATATGCATAGTATGTTGTATGATCAGAATTTGATATATACATAATCTGCAGTTTTACATGTACTGTTTGTAAAACGTCATCCGGATATATTGTTTATGCGTTGCGAACAGAAGCTACAGTATTTATTTAAGTTGCGTGAAAAGCGTATGAAACTAACGTGCT